CGCCACCAGGCGCTGGCGGAGAACCGCCGCGTAGGAGGACAGCGCCGCGATCGTCTTCTCGATCTCGCCGGAGGCCTCGGTGAGGGCTTTGATGTCTTGGAGAAGGCCCTCGCAGTACGGGTCGACCGGGAGCGGCGAGAGGTTCGCCCGGGCGAAGGACGCGTTGGTCTTCGTCAGCTCGTCGATGGAAAGCCGCAGGGCGGTGATCTCCTGCTCGATCTGCTGCCGAGACCGCTCCACGCGCCGGTGGCGCTCCTGCGCGAGGATGGCGATCTTCTGCCGGAAAAAGCCACTCTCACTCTCGCGAAAGATCGAAATCCGCTGGTAGGTGGCGGAATAGACCCTGAAAAAGCGAAGATCGGCCTGGCTTGGCACCAAGGGCAGCAGGAGAGCGGCGGCGGCGGCCTCGCCACGGCCGGAATCGGCCCCAGGCCCTTCCCAACGGGGGGTCGACGCCAAAGGGTTCTCCGCCAAGCCGAAGAGATCCCGCGCAGGGGGAAACATCGGGGCGGCGGAATGGCCGGGGGTGATCGGGCGGTCCACGCACGTCATGCACACCAATCGCACCTCCGCGCAGAAGGATTCATGCACCTTGAGCGCCTGCTCGAAGGCGATCTCCAACCGGCCCTGTTCGCGCTCCACCAACTCCATCAAACTCCGCCGGTTCGCGGCGTCTTTGAGGTGGTGGGGCTGGAAATACACATGGCGGACCTGGTCCGCAAAGCGCAGGCTGTTAAACGTCTCCGCGCCCGAGCACGGCGAGACGTGGACCAACACCAACACGCGGCCGTCCTCGAGGCAGGGCCGGAGAATCCGCGTGAGTTTGGAGTCCCGGTACGGCACGTGTTTGGAGTGGTGGTAGAGCGAGAGCACCACGGAAGAAAGGGCGGAGAGCGATTTATTGATGTACTGCGCCTCCCGCAAAGAGGCGCCGTGGATTTGGGTCTCCTTCACCCGCTCGCAGCCGGCCAAATCCACCAACGCGACGTAGGAGGTGAAGGAGCGGCCGGCCCCGGCGGGGCTGTCGAGGGGCTCGGATGCCGTCCGGGGGGTGTGGTGGGCGCGGCCCGCCGCGTCCTCGGGCTTGAGGGGGCCCTCCGTGAGGGAGAACCCGACCTGAATGACGAAAATGGCGTGCGAGCGGGAGCTGGTGTCGTTCTGCGTGTGGGCCGATGTAATGCGATTCGCATGCGCCAGACGATAGGCGCGGGAGAGGTGTTTGAGCGAGGTGATGGGGATCCCCCCGCCGGTTTTCTTCGCCGCGGCGGCGGCTTTGGGCCCGCGGGAGGCGGCGCCGGCGGCGGCCTCCTCGCGCGCGTGGTCGAGCTGTCGGCACAACGCCACGAGTCCGCCGGTGTCGCTGACGTTGTGGATCGGCCGCTTCCCCGGGTCCATCAGGTCGTAGAGCCCGTCCACGTAGAGCTCGATGCCGTAAAAGGTGAGCGTGTTCAGCGTTAAACACGGCGTCGCGGCCCGGCGCTCGGCGGGGTCGGCGACAACCGGCATACTCCCCGCCATCGACGCCTCCGCGGTGGGGTAGGCCGGGTCGAAGACGTGGCCGCTGTCGGTGCAGTCCTTCGGCAGCCTCACCGTCCTCCCGCGGCGATCGAGCAAGACGCAGACCA